GACTACATGGAAGTCAAGCGAAGTAGCCATTATGTCATCTACTGGTCCCTATTTAATTGCTTTTTTAAAAGGATTTTTCTTTGAGGGCTGGCAGGTGTTGTGGTGGTTGGGACACTGGTCTCCCATACAGCCAGCAGCGATTTGAGTCCTGGACCAGGCAGCTAGTCTTCTTTCTTTCTTTCAATTTTCCTCTCTTGTCGTTCTCTGGTCAAATTTAAAAATAATAACAAATGGAATTAAATGAATAATTATTTTTAACAAGTTTGTTTTTTAAAAAATTTTTTTCAGAGAGATTTTTTGCTCTAGTGTGTGTGCGCTCGCCAGAGAGATAGAGACAGAGAGAGAAAATGAAGGGACCACCAGGTGGTGTGGTGGTTAAGGTGCTGGACAGTCTCACATGGGTGACCACGGTTCAATTCCTGGACCTGGTGACTTGCTTCTCTCTTTTTGTGTCTCTCTCTGGTCAAATTAAAATAAATGAATGAATAAATAAAATTAAATTTAAAAAGAAAAAGAAAGAAAATGAGAAATAACCACCTCCCAGGCGAATAGACATGCCACAGTCCCTTCACTCTCTTCTTGGGATCTTGGCCATGCACACACATGTACCTGGCGTGAGTTTTAAGTTACTGGGTCCAGGACTCAAACTGCAACCGACTACGTGGAGATCCAGCAATGCAACAATTATACCATCTGCTTGCCCCCCTCCATTTTTTTTAAAGAGATTTTTGCTATAGGGTGTTTGCTTACCAGAGAGACAGAGACAGACAGCAAGTGAAAAATCATTACCCCAGGGGGATGGCCATGCTGAAATCCGTTCTCCTCCAGTCTCCTCTCAGGATTTTGAGCATGCACACACACATGCCTGGCATGAGTTTCAAGCTTCCAACTCCAGGACTCAAATCATAGTCGGTCATGGAAGGCTAGCAATATAATCATTACGCCACATGCTGGTCCCCATTATTTTTAAAAAATTAACTCCAGAGAAAGAGAAAGGAAAACTGAGTAAACTAACCACTAGATTTAGGACTTGACTTTCGGTAAGCCATGTGGGAATCCAGTGCCTTAATCGCCATACCTGCTGACTCCCAGTTCCAGACATTTTCGAAGGGCCTGCTTCTGGGGTCCTGAGCTGGAGGAAAAAAGCTTGTGATGTAAGGTCAAAAAGCAGGGCTCTGTTGCACAATGGATAGTGCATTTGATTTCTAACAAGCAGGGAGGTAGGGTGGACTTTCAGTGAACAGGATAAGGCCTCTGCAAAGGGAGCTGATCCTACGGGGCCAACCACAATTTAAATACTGATCCCAGTCCCTCGAAAAACAGGCCAAAACAGTGTTGGCCATGCCCAGGAACCTGAAAGGACTGGACAGGGAGCAGTAAAGAAAATGGGACTGCAGAGACCAGCCTATATTGGGGGGTGCGTTCTCTCTCTCCTCACCTTCACTCTCTGGCATTAAAAAAAGAAAAAAGAAAAACAAACAAACAAACAAACAAAAAACAGGGGACAACTCTATATATACTAGTTTGTTTTTGTTTGTACTTTCAATTTTTGTTATAGGTGCATGCACACAGGAAAGAGACAGACAGGGAGTGGGGGGAATACATAGAGAAAAAACATCAACCCCGAGGACAGATGGCCACATGGCAATCTCTTCTCCACTCTCCTCTCCAGATTTTGAACACACACACACAGAGCGTGGTTTTAATCTACTACTTCTGGGACTTGAAACACACACTTGGCCGTATGGGATCCAGTACCTTAAACTACATGCAACCTGCTGGCTTTGGAACATATGAAAATTTTACCTAATAACAAACTATAGTGTCATAACTCAGTATTTCAATAGCATTTAAGGGCCCTGAGTAATCCTTAAGAATGAGAAACTTCTGTACCCGTCACATATGAGAGGTCATTAGTTGTAGAATAAGGTGGCTATACTGTGGGATCCAGCTCCTTTAACCAGCATGCCACCACGGACCTGCACAATGAGGTTCTATTTTGTGTGTGTATGTCTGTGTGTTTAAGAATTATTTATCCTTGGGAACCAGCAGTTAGCGTAATGGCTATGTCACTGGACTCCCACGTAGTCGACCGCGGTTCATGTCCCGGACCCGGTGGCTTAAAACTCACGCCGGGCGCGTGTGCGTGCGTGCCCAAGATCCCGAGAGGAGAATGGAGGAGAAGGGATTGCGGCGTGACCATCCCCCCTGAGGGGTGATTTCTCGCTTTCTGTCTCTATGTCTCTCTCTGTCTGTCTGGCGAGCGCACGCGCCCTACAGTGAAAATCTCTCCAAAATAAAAAAAAAAAATTCTTCAATATCACCAGAGAGAAAGGGAGAGAAAGAAAGAAAGCCACCAGGTCTGGGACTTGAACCGCAGTCAGCTCTGTAGGAGTCCACTGCCTTCCACCAAGCCACCCGCTAGCCCCAGTTTCTATTTTTTTAGTTAACTGTAGGGCACATGTGCTCACCAAGGGAAAAAGGAAGAGAGACAAGGTGAGAATTACTCCCCTGGGTTATGACCACTGGGCTTTCCCTTCTCATTCCTCCCCTTGAGATTTTGGGGACAGCTTTTCAACCTGCTGGGTCTGGGACTTAAACCTTGTGTAAGGTGATCCCGCCACCTTAACCTTGGTGCCACTAGCTGGCCTCACCATGGATTTTTATATATTCATCTCCAGAATATTTTTCAGCTATTTTACAAACTACTACCAGAGGGTGCATGCTTTTGTCCAAAAAAAGACAGATTCGGACAGAGAGAAAGAGCACTCCAGTGGGGTTTGATCATGCCACAAACCCTGTTCTGTTTCTCCATCCCATCCCACACTGTACACACATCCACAGCACTCAGCGTGTACCTCAGATTGCCAGGATGGGGACTTGAATCGTGCGGTCACCATTTGTGATGCAGCTCTTTTATCCACTAAGTCATGAACAGCCTCACACTTATTTTTCTTTTACATTCTTATTATATTCCTATTTTCACTTCGTGGCTCGTATTTGGCACACATGGGAAGGTATGTAAAAATGTGACATGGGGGAACCAGCAGTTAGCGTAATGGCTATGTCGCTGGACTCCCACGTAGTCGACCGCGGTTCATGTCCCGGACCCGGTGGCTTAAAACTCACGCCGGGCGCGTGTGCGTGCGTGCCCAAGATCCCGAGAGGAGAATGGAGGAGAAGGGATTGCGGCGTGACCATCCCCCCTGGGGGGTGATTTCTCGCTTTCTGTCTCTATGTCTCTCTCTGTCTGTCTAGCGAGCGCACGCGCCCTACAGTGAAAATCTCTCAAAAAAAAAAATGTGACATGGTTCATGTTCATCTACAGTGATGCAGGTTTTAGGGTGTCAGATTTGAAACTGCTCTACTGTAAAATCCTCTATCATAATCCTTGCGCAGACGGCAGGGAGAAAATAATCCATAACTCAACTTGAAGATGAGAGTATATGTACAAGACACTGTGCTTCTTTTATTCCACCTTGAAAAAAATGGGGACTGATCTTTCAACTTTAGAGACCTAATGGTCAATGTTAAGTGGTAGTTATGAACTAAGACATTGATAAATAAAATTAAGTTAGAAAAAGAACATGATTCATATATCGTTAAGAAAATATATTAAAGTTGGGGGCAGGCACGTGGTGTGGTGGTTGAGGTGCTGGATTCCCACACAACCGAAAGCAGTTTGAGTCCTGGATCTGAGAGCTTGCCTTCCTATTTTTTCTCTCTCTCTCTCTAATCAAATTTTAAAAATAATGAATAAAATTAAATAATTTTTAAAAGGAACTATATTAAATTTTATTAAAATTAAAGCTATATACTATGAAATAATGACTTTTTTATTTTAGCTTTTTTCCTTTTTAAATAATTCATCTAAAAATTATTTATATATTTACTTATTTATTTATTTTTGGGGCGAGGTTTTTGCTATCGGGTGCGTGCACTTGCCAGAAAGACAGAGATACAGAGACAGAAATCAAGAAATAATTCCCCAGGGAACCAGCAGTTAGTGTAATGGCTATGTTGCTGAACTCCTACATAGTCGACCGCGGTTCGCGTCCCGGACCCGGTGGCTTAAAACTTACGCCGGGCGCGTGTGCATGCGTGCCCAGGATCCTGAGAGGAGAATGGAGGAGAAGAGACTGTGGCATGACCATCCCCGCTGGGGGGTGATTTCTCGCTTTCTGTCTCTATGTCTCTGTCTGTCTGGTGAGCACACGGGTGGATGGTCATGCCGCAATCCATTCTCTTCTTGGGATCTTGGGCACGCACGCACACGTGCAGATGAGTTTAAGCCACTGGATCCAGAACATGAACCGTGGTTGGCTACATGGGATTCCGGTGACATGGTCGTTATGCCATCTGCTGGTCTCTAAAACATTGTTTTAAAAATGGAGTAATTATGACAGAAAAACTTTTTATATTCATTACATTTTTTAAGAATTATTTCATTTTATTTATTCATTCATTTTAATTTGACTAGAGATAGATAGAGAGAGAGAGAGAGATGGAAAGTGAGAAAGCAAGCCACCAGGTCTAGGACTCAAACCACAGTGGGCCATGAGGGCATGTCCAGCACCTTAACCACATCACCCACTGGCCCCCATATTCATTACATTTATGTGATTTCTGTCCAGTACAAGTTACTCAATGTCTGGAGAGCTGTGAAAGTCTACCAAAAAATTTGCTATACTTATAAGCTCTGGAAGGTTTCTCACTGGTACATATTACCTGATGCCTTGTGAAGACTGAAAGCACACTAACAAATCTGGCACACCCACACACACGTGAGGGCTCACACTAGCATGTATCCTCCAGTGAAGACTGTCAGGCTTTGGCCTGCAGCCTTGCCACGTCCACTACACTGGCAACATTTCTCTCCACTCCAGATTCACTGATGGTAACAACCACAAAATGAAAACTAAACATTTGTTCTACATTTTTCTCTCCAGAATGAATTCTCTAACATCTTTCAAGGTGTGATCAGTGCAGATGTGGTCACATTAGTTACCTTTACGAGGTTTCGCTCTAGCATGAGTTCTCTCATGTCGTTCAAGATGTGATCGGGAACGAAAAGCTTTGCTGCACTCAGAACATCCATAAGGTCTCTCCCCAGTGTGAGACTTCCAATGACTAGTTAGGGCAGAGCTTTCAGTGAAGGCTTTACCACATCTGCTACAGCTGTAAGGCCTCTCTCCAGTATGGATTCTCTGATGCTTAGTAAGAGTTGAACGCACAATAAATGCTTTGTCACACTCACTACATTTGTAAGGTTTCTCTCCAGTATGAATTCTGCGATGAGCTGCGAGGCTAGAAGACTGACTAAAGACTTTCCCACATTCCTTACACTTGAATGGTTTCTCTCCAGTGTGAATTCTGCCGTGACGTGCAAGATCGGCAGAGTGTCTGAAGAACTTGCCACACTCATTACATCGGTGAGGTTTCTCTCCTGTATGAATTAACAGATGGGTACTAAGGCTGTAGGACACTCTAAAGGCTTTCCCACACTCATGGCATTTGTAAGGTTTTTCTCCAGTATGAACACGCAAATGTCCCTCGAGGTGTGAACTATGACCAAAGACTTTGCCACATTCGTTACATTTGTATGGTTTCTTTCCTGTATGAATATTCTGATGAACAGCAAGGTTTGAAGACCCGTGAAAGACTTTGCCACATTCCTCACATTTGAAAGGTTTCTCTCCAGTATGGATTCTCTGATGGCTAATAAGGCTTCCATGGACAAAATAGGCTCTGTCACATTCACTACACTTGTGAGGTCTCTCTCCACTATGAATTCTGCAATGCAGTGCAAGGTGTGAACTGGTAGTAAAGACTTTGCCACATTCACTACATTCGTAAGGTTTCTCTCCAGTGTGAATTCTCTGATGATTGATAAGAGTTGAAGACTGACGGAAGTCTCTGCCACATTCATTACATTTGTAAGGTTTCTCCCCAGTATGAATTTTTACATGTACAGTAAGGTGTGAATTAAGCCTAAAAGCTTTACCACATTGACTGCATTTGTAAGGTTTTTCCCCAGTATGAATTCTCTGATGTTCACCAAGTGCTGATCTTTGTCTAAAAGCTTTACCACATTCACTGCATTTGTAAGGTTTCTCTCCAGTGTGAATTCTACGATGACTTGCAAGGTTCGAACTCTGAGTATACAACTTGCCACACACATCACATTTATCTTGTTTTCCTCTGCTCTGGATCCTTTCATGTATAATGAGCTCTGAGCCACTTTTAAAGGCTTTGCCACACACTTCACACTGGGCACGTTTCTCACTAGTGTGAATTCTACGATGACATGCAAGGTTTGATTTTTGATTGAAGTCCCTTCCACAAATGTCACATTTATACAGTTCCTCTCTTGTATGGATTTTCTCACTTAGAGCACAGTGTGAGTGTTCACTAAAAGCTTTGCCAGACCGATTACCCTGGAAAGATTTCTTCCTCTTGTCTACTCTCTGTTCTTGGGTGAGTAATGAACAGTCTATAAAATTATGCCCATCTTCATGATCAGTGACGGCTTTGACACTGGAAACAATTGTCTGGAGTGGTGAAACTACAGAACTTTGCTTAAGAGAGTTCTCAACTCCCTTATGTTCATATGATTCCCTATTACCTTTACATTCCTGCACCGCTGGTGCATGTGACTGCAAGCTGAAGTCAAGGTCACTAGGAACAGGTCTATTTCCTACACCCCTTCTTTGGGGATCAACAGCTCTCCTAGTCTGCTCTACCTTACAGGTCATAGATTCTACTTGGTACAGGTTTTCTTCTCTCCACTCACAGGCAGGAAGATGTGCATTTCTCTGGACTTGCTTGAAGGGAAACCCTTCAGTACCATGGTTTTCATGTGCCTTCATCATCACTGTTGGCAATACTTCTCCTGAAGCACCACTGTGTTTGGCTGGTAATTCCATCATAGGTTTTTGAGAGTTATCTGCAAGGTGTAAAGAAACACAGGCTTCTGATTAATTATTGATAATAAATTAAATTCTCATATTGACTCTAATACTTCATTAAAAGAATCCTGAAGGGGGAACCAGCAGTTGGTATAACGGCTATGTTGCTGGACTCCCATGTCGTTGACCACAGTTGGAGTCCCAGACCCGGTGGCTTAAACTCATGCCAGGTTCGTGTGCGTGCATGCCCAAGATCCTGAGAAGAGAATGGAGGAAAAGGGATTGCGACATGGCCATACCCCTGGGGGGTGATTTCTTGCTATCTCTCTGTCTCTCTCTGTCTTTCTGGAGAGTACACGCATCCTAGAGCAAAAAACAAACAATGAAGGTTCTCAACTATGATGTTTAATTTTTTTTTCTTTTGTTTCTGCTACAGGGAGTGAGCAATCCCAGAGAGACAAGGGGAGAGAAAGTCAAAAGTCACCCTCCAGGGGTGATAGGTATGTCACAATCCCTCTGCTTCACTCTTCTCCTGAGTTTGTGCACACACACAACATGATTCTAAAGCTGCCAGGTTTGGTACTCAAAGTACAAAGCCGGCCATGTGCAATTCAGAGCTTCAACCCTGACACCATCAGCTGGCCTGTGATGTTTAATCTTATGCAGAAGAGAATTCTTGAATAAAGAGAAATGTTGATTTACAGAAAGTCAAACAAATAACAGGGAACTTCTGTTTCAGAAGACCAAGACGTAAACAGTAACAGGGTTGGGCTGGCAGATGGCGTGGGGGTTGAGGGTGCTGGACTCTCACGTGGCGGAGTCCTGGACTTGGCGGGTTTCTCTCTCTCTCTCTCCAAAAAAAAAAAAAAAAAGTTAAAAAATAAAGAAAAAAAGAAAGAAAAGAAAAAAAAAAATTCTTTATAT